CTAGGGAACGTAATTTTATTATTAACACCTAGTTTCGTGCTAGGGAACGTAATTTTATTATTAACACCTTGTTAACACTATTAACACCTAGTTAATCTAGTGTTAATTTTATTAACACTAGAGTTTCGTGCCAGGTGAATCTGCTTAAATTAACGTTTTGAAAATCGGTCGAATCCAAACAGTAAATATGCAAAAAAGGGTGAAAACAAATTTAGTTCTTTGAAAGAGAAATGTTATAGGCTTAGCTCAAAACACTTCATCGTTTAATTATGTTTCCAAATTTGATAGATTCGTTTTATAAACTCCCTGTGGTCTTAAAACATGCGTAGAGTTATAGTCATTATGGTTGGGACCAGTTCTAACTGTCTCAACCATCACCTTGGACTGTTTTATATTCACGGTTTTCATTCTTGAGTGCAGCGACATCTTGCTGAATAAGGTTTTCCTAGGCCTTACCCTAGAGCACATGGAACACACAAATTAGTGAGGTCGTCTGGTACCTGGCATCCAACTGACCATTGAGTTAAGGGGTCAATGAATTCATTGGATATCAAATCAGTAACCCTTCTAATAGGTGAAGCTACAAAAATGGTTATGTAAAGAGTATTTAATTATAGTTCTGAAACTTGTTGGTCTCTTTTTTTTTCTCGCATTAATATTGTTACGTCTCCGTTCGTTAATTGACTTTCCGTAACTTCGTTCCGACGAAACTTTAGCGACACAAGTCCTTACTTAATAAAACTGGTTTATTCTTTCTGAATACAACTTTACCGATACACTTATTTTCAACAGTCTCTCTTTTACAAACGTTTTAACAACGAACGTTAACTTCAACAATACTTCCTGACTGCATTTCAATTACTCACTACCTACACACATTATTGTCACGTTGTGAGCATCTTATATATATATATACCAGACAAACATATATCTAGTAAATGCTAGGGCATTCACGAAGGAACAAGATAGTTCTAGAAACGTGGCGTGACACTAGTCACGTGACCTCGCTGACGCAACAATATCAAACCTTAGAACCTTTTATTACGTGTGAGCGGTTCAACTTTTTGTCGTTGTTTTTCTAAACCAGAAAATAACCGTAAGTTATGGAAATACGAACGCAAGATTTTTACCTAAAATCTCGTAATTGCTTCAAGGTATGTTTTTTGTCACTTCGTTTATCAGGTTCTCAAAAAATATTATGTTTTTACCACACTTAAAGGTGTCGGAACTCATTTTCCTAATATAGAAATATTGACTGTACTACAATTACATTCTAAGTACTTTCAGGTAAATAAAAACAATATTATTAAGTTCTTAAAGAAATGCGTAGCTTGTTAAAAATTTGGAAAATATGAATTAATTTACTCCAGAAAATCCGACTCAGCTGACCTCGGATGACCCTCAGTGGTTGGGAGCCTGGTGGTTAGGAGTGTTTCTAGTGGGGGCAGCACTCATTCTAGTTGCTTGTCCAATGGCTGCCTTCCCGCGAAACCTTCCTCAGACTCCTTCCTACACTAATGTCCAGGTAGCAATTGTGCAGTCCAATAGCACTATGTCAGAGAATCAACCACAGTGGATTGACAGCCACGTACCCCACTCAAGCACATCTAGTGCAAGATGTAAGTAACTAAATGTTATTATTATTATTATTTTAATATTACTCTCTCTCTGTATGTATGTGAAGTAAACAGATTTACCAACATCATGTGATGGTTGAAAACTGGTTTAGAAGAAACAGATGTATTAGATGTTCCTCTGTTTGGTCAAACACATAATTTTCTACATATTACAGGTTCTTACTACTGTCTGTTGAATGTATCTTATCATTTTAGGTATTGTTGCTGAATGTGTTATGTTTTCATTTTTAACAGTCTAACACTTGATTATTTATCTAGTTTCAACAAAATCGAACATTTCATCCCACGCCAACCACTGTCAATTTCACAAATTAATTAGCTCTCTGATAAAGATAACAAATTTGTGATAACTGATACCGAAACTGCTAGAATTACTTATCTCGTGTTTAAAATCTTACTAGGTAATTATATATGCATGTCAGACAGATTCAAGCTTCTGAAGCAGTATCGCAAAAATCGATCTTAAAAGGCTGCCACCTGGTGAAGCTTGAATTTCTGGTAGAGCGTTTAATTACCTTAGCGTTTATACAAAGAACTAGGCTTAGCTATCGTGTAAGTTTCTAGAATGTCGGAGAAAGTGAATTTCTGGTAGAGAGTTTAATTACCTTAGCGTTTATACAAAGAACTAGGCTTAGCTATCGTGTAAGTTTCTGGAATGTCGGAGAAAGTGAATTTCTGGTAGAGAGTTTAATTACCTTAGCGTTTATACAAAGAACTAGGCTTAGCTATCGTGTAAGTTTCTAGAATGTCGGAGAAAGTGAATTTCTGGTAGAGCGTTTAATTACCTTAGCGTTTATACAAAGGACTAGGCTTAGCTATCGTGTAAATTTCTAGAATGTCGGAGAAAGTGAGTTTGTGTATTTAATTAAAATATGAAATTTTCAATGTTTACCAGAATTAAACAATTTGAGACCTAAGTAACGTGTACCATGAGAAGGCGATCGTGTAACAGAAGCTATCCGATCTTCCTAGTCCTAACTGATGCCTGTATTAAAGTTACTGAGTTTATTATAATTAATCATTAACACCTTAAACTACAAACAACGCCCAGGAAACTCTAACCACACAAAGTTTTGTTTCTTTCTACAAAACGTAATAAGTTTATTCATCTAGCCAGAGTATGTAAATCTATATACGTTACTAAGTAACATTATCAATCAATACAATACCTGTTTTAAGACTCGCGGTAAGAAACGATTTACTGGACATTGAAATGACGTGATGATACACAGCAACGCCATCTGACTAGCAGTTTAGAGATACAACGAAAATAGTGAGAAAATCATCAGCAACGGATGTGGGAGTGGGGTGAAAAGGTCCCTTCTCTATATTTGGCAGTGGTGTGTATTAATTTCACGTGAAATACACCTATTATTATTGAACATCAATAAGCACGTATCATTTCTTATGTTTTTTATTTTATTTTATTTGATATGTTCGTGAAAGTCTGTGTATAAAACGGCCCATGCGTGATGTTAATGAGTACGCGTTACTAAATGTTTGCCCCCCCCCCCAGTGGCACAACGGTATGTCTGCGGACTTACAATGCTAGAAACCGGGTTCCGATACCCGTGGTGGGCAGAGCACAGATACTCCATTGTGTAGCTTTGTGCTTAACTTCAAAATAACAACAATTAAATGTTTGCCTATACCGGAATTAGGCTTAGTTCGGTAGCGTACTTTTATAAAGAATATTTCATTATTTGCAAATTCCTCTTCGGCGAGTTCGTTTACCCCTCCCCCTCCCCTACCCATTAGAAATTCTTACATCTTTTACTGTATTAACATAAGGTAAAACTTCAGAACGTATTTGATTTACAGAATTATACTTTTTTTGTTCTCTGTTGGCAGCTTTTACACGAGCTATGAGACGGTTGCTAAGGAACGACATCCTCTTGTGTCGAACGGCGAGCAGTGTTCTCCATATTCTACCCATTGCTGGCCACTACACTTTCCTTCCAAAGTATCTGGAAAGTCAGTTTCAGGTGAATCCTGCTAAAGCCAACACAATTTCTGGTGAGAATACGTTAAATACAATTTTAATTAAATTATTGTTAGGGTGTATCACTTAATTAAATTACATAATTAACCCTAAAATTACATTTTTCCTAAGTATCAAATTAGTCACAAAAAGATTGAGTAAAAACTATCATTGATACTGCTATTACGTAAAGTAACTTAATAGGATGCAGTGAACAGTACCAAAACTAGCTAGTACTTTTAGGGTTAAGTGTACGGTGCCCTTCGTTACTGTCATTTGTATGTTATAAAGGAAAATTTGCTTAATTTGGTTTCTTCAGTTATTTTCTCTGTCTTAAACTCTGTCATTTAATATCCAGAACAGTCTATAAATTGTCATTAAATATCCAGAACAGTCTATAAACTGTCATTTAGTATCCAGAACAGTCTATAAACTGTCATTTAATATCCAGCACAGTCTATAAACTGTCATTTAATATCCAGAACAATCTATAAATTGTCATTAAATATCCAGAACAGTCTATAACCTGTCATTAAATATCCAGAACAGTCTATAAACTGTCATTAAATATCCAGAACAGTCTATAGAAAAAAAAATTATCTATCAAAATAGTTCAATATCCTTATCTTAGGTAAACCAGAATTTTCTTTTACGTTACTCAGTGCTTTCAATATTCGTACATCGTGTGAACTGGGATTTTGTTTTGCCTTGCCCAATGCTTTCAATATATCTACTTGTGTGAACTGGGATTTTGTTTTGGCTTGCCCAATGCTTTCAATATTCGTACCTCGTGTGAACTGGGATTTCGTTTTGCCCTTGCCCAATGCTTTCAATATATCTACTTGTGTGAACTGGGATTTCGTTTTGCCTTGCCCAATGCTTTCAATATATCTACTTGTGTGAACTGGGATTTTGTTTTGCCTTGCCCAATGCTTTCAATATTCGTACCTCGTGTGAACTGGATTTTGTTTTGCCTTGCCCAATGCTTTCAATATATCTACTTGTGTGAACTGGGATTTCGTTTTCCATTACTCAATGATTTTGTCATAATATATAGACTGGTATATCAGTGGTAAGCTTGGGGGCTTATAATACTAAAATTTGGGGCTCTACTCCCACATAAAAACACGTCATAGATGCCTATTGTGCAGCTTTAGAACAAAAAAACGTAAAACGTAAGGCCTCCTCCCCCCCTAGTGGCCTAACGGTAAGTCTGAAGGCTTACAACGTTAAAAACGGTTTTCGATACTCGTGGTGGGCACAGCACAGAGAGCTCATTGTGCAAATAAACAAAACAAATATAAAGACAATTATAGCTTTTTTACCTTTTCTGAAACCTTGTTTGTAGATCTTTAAAACTATATTTTCAAATCTAGTATTGTACCGTTCAATGACAGTCTTAGTAAGAACCAGTAATGATCTTTTTTGTAGAACTTTAAAACTATATTTTCAAATCTAGTATTGTACCGTTCAATGACAGTCTTAGTAAGAACCAGTAATGATCTTTTTTGTAGAACTTTAAAACTATATTTTCAAATCTAGTATTGTACCGTTCAATGACAGTCTTAGTAAGAACCAGTAATG